GACCTTTTAGGGCTTAAACAAACACTGTAGTAAAGTCGTTACATTTTCTGTGTTATCTTTATTGTGTAGCTTGATTTATGTATTGTTTGTTTTCTGCATTCTCGCTTTAGTTCACCTCATTTGGTGCAAGTGAGAGAGCGAATCCGAATCAACGGGCAGCCGATAGGAAAAGAGCTCTTCACCAAATACTTCTGGCAGGTGTACGGACGACTGGAGGAGACCAAGGTGAGACGGATGGGGTTTAGCCAATCACAATAGTGATTGTGATTTGAATATATTAATATTTGCATCTATTAATAATTGAATATATAGTTTTATGAATGCTTTTGATGCAAGAAACCTTCAGGGAAAAAATAAAATTATACAAAATTATAGAACTTAAACTCTTTAAATTTCTTTATCCGCTGCTGTGAGTGAATATGTGCTCATGTCCAAGCTTTTTACTTCTGAGGAAGGTTTACTTATGCATTTGTGAGCTTAGCGGTAGCTTTAAACAATGTCTTGAGCTCTAATGCTTTAATTCCTATGAAAGAAGAGCATGTTTCATGCTGGCTGCTCTACCACGTTTGCAGCCGTTCCATGTTAATTGTGTTAAGTGTAAATGTGAGGCATCTGGCCATGTAATTGCATAATCGCAACAGCATGTCAATCATGTGAGGAAGGAGACAGTGCCATTTGTTCAGACACCAGAACCTAAAATGTCTCTTTGAACATCTGCATCCATGTATCCTTCAAAAATGGCAAAGCACAACCATGAGTAATATTCAAAGGTGCAAAATCCTTTTTTTTTTTTTCATAACGTTTGTTTAACCTTTCAGGATGCCAGTGGCGGCAGCATGCCTGCTTATTTTCGCTTTCTCACCATCTTGGCCTTTCATGTCTTTCTGCAGGAAAAGGTGAGCAACATTGCTGATCTGTTTTACCTGAATATTTAATAATTTTATTTCAACAGTTGAGCCTGTAATGAAACCTACATATGTTTGAGATCACAGATCAAGCATTTGATACTGATCTACTGCTGTTTTTGTAGAACTTTGACATTGCTGATAAGATGATAAAGTTAAATCTTTTTGTCTGAAAGATTATTGACACTTGTCCTTTATTATAAACCTAGACCAAAATTCTCTGTCTATGTCTCCGCCTCTGTGCAGGTTGATTCGGCCGTCATTGAGGTTGGGATCGGTGGAGCTTATGACTGCACCAATATTATCAGGTATCACAGCACTATTCGGCCTTGAGAATCAGAGATTTTACTGTCTGCCTCCCGTCTGCTTCAGTGTAGCGTGTCTAATACTCTCTTTGTGCCACATTATTCTAGTGTGACATCCATTTAATCTCCATTCATCTGGCTTTTCATAATTCAAGCGTGACACATTCCTCTCATATCAGCCAATCGTTGTTCAGCATTCTTTAGTTGATTCTATCAGTCATGATCCTGACTGACCACATGAACCAATCAATGGTCATGAAAATCAAGAAATCACTCTGCATTTTAAATGATCTTATTCTCAATAAGAGCCAATAATGACAACTTATCTTTATTCAAAAACACATTCGCTTTAGGTACACACAGATTCCTTCTAAAGCGTTAAAGCAGTAGTTCATACAAAAATGAAAATTCACTCACCCTCAGGCCATCCAAGATGTAGA